AGAGGACTCAAGGTCACCTTCACATTCACATTCTTGTTGTTAAGTAACTTCAGCAAAATATATTGGTGAGGGGGAATTGTGAAGAATTCCAGATTATTTTATTTAGAAAACAATTAACTGAGATTTCAGGTTGTGTTTGTTTGTTGGTTGGTAATTTTCATTTATTTATTCAATTAAATATTAAGAAGCTCAAAATTCATTAGAATACTTAATTTCAAGATACATGACCCAAAACACATGCCTTTTTCCTATATATATACATTTTTTCTGATTTATACATCACCAAAACACATCAGTAACAGTGAAATTCTATTGTGGAGTTGCACAGGTTAACCCAAAACCCTTCTCAAATCAAGCAAATTGAAGTTAGGCAAAGATGCATTAGGATCTTACCGGAGAGTGTGAGAGAAGTTCATGGGATGACTGAGTGTAGAATTCTGCAACAGGAAGGCTACTATAAGTGGAGCAATTAGGGTTTTTCACCTTAATTGGGTGAAAATGAAGAGTCTCATGCATATCTCCCTACCTTAAGGCAAGTGTTATGGGCATAATGCTTAACATAAAAATTAATGACTACAGTCACTGCTGTCTTTAACTGATCTGAAGTCAATCCAGCTGATACATGAAAAGAGCCTTCTGATCTTGCAGCAGAGAAGCTAAATTCAGGAAATCTTCCCAAATTCTGTTCTTTATGACTGGACTAGAAATATATATATATTTATTCCTCTGAAGCTTTAAATTTTCTTCTGAAGAGTACTGTTAACAGAAGGAAATCATCTGGTAAATGACTTATAACAAAGCAGCATTTGGCTTGTACTGAATTCTCAGAGATGTAGAGCTTTCACTGTAGTCAGAATGTTAATGTATGAAATTGTAATAATGATTTATTAATTAACTAAGACTGTCATCACACTTTTCTATAGCTAATTTAAGTGGCAGTCACACTGGAGCCTGTTTTGTTTCACTTTCTCCCTTTCAGTAAAATCAAGCACAGACACTTTGTTGGCCATCCAAGATACTTTTATCTTTGCCTACAGGGACCCAGGGGGAATGGAAGCAGGAAAAGTATATGGAAACAGGATTTGTATACCTCATGACTTCAAGACTTCCCTTCAAGCCCTGCATTTTTTTTTACTCCTCCCTTTTCCTGTTCAATAAGATATCAAAGGAGAAAGAGATCAAGAAAAAAGACAGAGAGAGGCAGGAGCATCGGTTTCAACTTTTTCTAGTGTCTAAACACTCAAAACAAAAGAATGATATTTTAAGTCTTTGTGAGCCAGGATGAGAGATGGATTTTTCAAATTATAAAGTGAGGAAAGTGAGCCTGGTTATCATGTACTTACAGCAATCATCTCCAATCAGTAATTAAAATAAATCATGGGAAATGAGTTGCAGTACACAGGGAAGAATTGTCTCTAAAAACACCCAACAGTTTCCTTCAAAATACTTACTGCGCTTGCCAAGGCAAATGGAGGAGAGAGCTTATCGTGTCACAGTTTATATTTGAAGTATATCCTTAAAATTTTCAAAAGCTCCATGGAGATTCAATAGTGACTCTAGTTCCTAGGTGGTTACTAAAGATACATGAAGGTAGTGAATCCAGAATTTCAGATAGGAGCTACTGAAACTGGTCTATCTTGAAACAAGAATGTAGCCTTTCTTTAAGCCCAAGTACTCCTTTATATTAACTCTGATAAAGTTTTGCAGAGGGCTGGAGAATGGAATATGTGGATGAGTAGGATAGACAGTGAAAGCAGAAAACCTTCAGGAGCTGTGGCTCCTGGCTATCCTGCACAAGAGGTCTTCAACTAGCCAAGGAGCAGAAGAGGCAAATCTGCACTTCAGAAGAAGGTACCCAGCTCATTTTTCTCCGCAGTCAAAATTGCATTCAAAACTCAACTTACTTTTGATGAAAATGAGAGACTCCCTGAAGTAAATGAGATTGCCTAAGGCAATTTTAAATACATATATCATTCTTCTTTTATAATGTTTATAAATATGTAATATTATACATTAATGAAATATCTTGAAGTATCAGAGAATGAAAGGCATTGCAATGTTTTATCCTCCTGCTGTGAGTTATGACTCTTGCTATCAGCTTCTTTCTGTTACGCAGTCTCACAGACAAAATCATAGATGGTTAAAGCATCCCACAGATTTGTACTTTGTCCATAATCTCTTCCCACATTGTAACAATTTGTTACTTGAGTGTAAATCTGATACTTTTGGCTTGAAAACAAAGCATTAAACAATCTGCAAATATGAGCTCATCACTTTGGGCAAGGTGAAAAGGGTCGCTGATGCAGTGCACTCATTGCTGGCATTCAGATATTAGTCAAAACCTCAGGAAACCAGCTTTTAGCATGCTGTCTATTTTCCTTTTCAATAGTCTTTTTTCCATCTCTGACTCTATCACAGTTTGATATCTAGTCACTCAGTTCTTCCCTTTTCTGTGTGTATTTGTGTTATGATTCAGCCTTCTAACATGTATTGTCAAGCAGCTGTGTCTTGTAGAGAGTTTGTGGTAAACTTGAGTGAGAAGGGATTTATTTCATCATTTCCCAAATTCTACCCTTCCCTGTCCCTAGTTCAAGTAGTTTTCTCTAAGAGCAAAGATTTGTAGATACTGTGAAAACCAAACCAAAACAAACCAAACAGCCCAAATATGAGAGAGCATTAGGCAGCAGGAATCCTTGTACTTTGGCAGGTGTAAAACCTCAGCTCTTCATTACACTTGTAGTCTGTGCAGCTCCTCCTCTCCATACTGCTCTGATCAGGCAACACAGAGCACTCAGCATGCCAGCTACTGGCAGGAGAAAGCTCATACTCTAGATCCTCACTTTTGCACTGCCCATTTTAGCCTAAAAATACTATTGCTATTCACTATCCTTTTTTTTTTTTTTTTTTTTTTTCCCAAGAGAAGGATGACATACTCACCAAAGCTAAGACTAAGAGCAGCCACAATAAACCCAAGCAGAAAAAAATTTGGTAAAGCTTGTTTTAAGTTCTCTTCAAATGATCTGTTAGCACTCTTTTTTTTGTTTGTTTGTTTGTTCGTTTGTTTTTGTTTTCATATATCAGACAATGCAAAATGCAACAGAGTCCAATTCCAGCTATAAACTGTTCAGGCTTTTTAAAAACATCCCAAGGAGACATGCAGGTGCACAAACTTCAGGTATCTGGCCATAACTCAAAGTTCTAGTGCAAAAAAATAACTTCTTTAGTCATTGTTTCAACTGACTCTGTTTTTCCATTTAAGAAACAAAACAACAATAAACTTGAACTACAAGAAGGAAAATCCTAACTTTTTTTTTTCCCCTGTCCTTCAATTTAACTTGTCTATTTCATTTCCTCCTTTTTCCAACTGAGTCTGCAGACTCATACACTTCCAGGAGATATTTTTTCTCATGGTACATCTGGGAGAAGTATAAACTCAATACTGGATTCCTATTCAACAGGACTGCTACTCTGTTCAGACTTGTTACACTCAAGTCCTTCTTCACTGGACCTCAGGCTTACCAATCAGAAAGGAGGCCACAGCTGGCTAGCCTTAGATAAACCACTTAGACAACTTTTTGACTGGCCTCCAAGTTCTTCAAGCTTAGAATAAAGAGATTGTTCTGGCAAATGGGAGAGAGAAGGATCCTCATGTCAGCAAAACTTAGCTCCTGCTAGGACTGGAAAAGTCTAAGAAGAACTGAGAGTCAGGAAAGCCTCAATATGTCTTCCATGGACACCTCTCAGTAAGGAAGACTGGTAAGACAGAGCTAATGCAAGAGACTTGAGTTCTCTTACCTAACGTACTGAAAGCCAATAAGCTTGGATCAGAAGCTTGCAGTGATCACCTTAATCATTCTCCAGCACCTTTAAGCACGATGCTATAACACTAACAGTGCACCTGCCCAAAAGCATAGATAGAAAAATTAAGAAAGAGCTGTCGTAACTGAAGGATTTAATTTTTTTACTCTTGTAGGTTGAATCCTGCAATAAAAATAAGTGATAGAAACATAGCAGTTTCCTTTGAAGTCTGTGAGATCCTGAGGTGCAGCATCTCTGATTGAATATTCTATGCTTAAAGTAAACAGCTGCAAGAAGGATGGGTAAGAGGAAACTAAAGGAAGGAAGACAGAAACTTTATAGCTGACTACAAAAGTCTACAAAGAATTGATCCCAGCGCAGTCAAAACAGTATCTGAGGTAGAGTGAAGACTGCAATGAACTAGAATGGTTTTTCAAATTCAATCACAGTTTCAAGAAGAGTAAGGTGATTTTGCCTGTGTAAGTAGCAAATGGCACAAGGGATCAGGCTAGGAAAGAGATGTGGATCCCCATCTCACTCACAGTCCTGACTGGGAATGGCATGGCTTTCTGCTGAGAACTGGGAAAGCAGAAAGAGAAACAGGATTGGATGAAGCCCTAAACCTAATAAAAACTGCAGATTATAGAAAAGACCTGTCAGAGACTGCTGTTGAGATCTTTATGGAAGCATGTTATTTCAAAGCTGCTGCATCTGCAGATGGAATAACAGGAAGGGTGGTCGCAGTGCAGCACCAGGCCACAAGATGGCAAAACCCAGAAATTGACCTCAAACCAGACCTCATCTAGAACAATGTAATAACATTAACATTTGAGGATTCAAACTACTAAATCTATAACTTTAATAAAACTGGCCATGCTTTTTCTACAGCTCCCTTGAATTATAACTTTAATGAAATGCCAGCCTTTTAAAACAAATCCCTGAATATCACTTCTTATCACTTCACACTTCTTATGTGCCCCAACTTAATCCCGTTCTTTTTTTCTCCAAGTGAAGATCACTTCTTTGCTCTTCAAGAGATGCTAAATGCAAGCTAAGGAGAATTGCTCATTATCAGATTATGATCTAAGATATGAGAGTTCCAGGAACATTACAAAAAGTCATGGCTCCATTAATAGCTTCAGTTTAGGCCTTTGGAGACTAACGTCTACACTGCAAGCACAGCAAGCGCACATAGCATTAAGATTGTTGGTCCTGCCTCATTAAGGTGGATGCATTAGATCATCCCTTTCAGTCCTCTTCCAGTGGTTCTTTGTTAATTAACTACTGCATTGGCAGAGCCAGCACAGAGGCTGAAAAATACCCTGAAAGCTGAATTATGACTAAAATAGCATGACAGCCTAGTGTTAGACCATTTGCATAGTTACATGTATCCTGAGAACAAAGATGAGAGATTCACTAGCAGGTTTTGTCAACTTCACATTGACATGCAAAATGCTGCTCTTAATGAGTACTATCTCTTGAAGTTTCTTCCAGTCTCTTTTATTCTACAAGTCTACAAAAATTGCATTAAAAACAATGATTCCCTATTAGAACAGTGATTCCATAGAAAGCTTTCATTTGTTTAATGATGTGAGATCTTCTTAGCAGCCCCTCTGATGAGTCTCTGAAAACATTTGGGAGAGCTTCTTCAGCAAACGACAAATGCTGGTCCTTCAAGCAGGATCAAGCAGCAGCCCATTCCCGTGTCTTTGCAACCTTACCCTCATATTTGTTTCTGGGTATCATTTTGCCAAAGGCGATGTGATTCCTAAGCATCCTGCCCACACATGGGCTGGGTCTGTGTGAAAACTGTGGAATTTAACACCCACCACATGCGAAACTGCCTTTGTCCTGTCCCAAACCTAAACCACATACAACTGGTGCACTTTAAGCATCTCACCACGTTTGTGAGCACTTAGCCTTTATTTGGTCCTCCAGTCTTTTCATACTACATGTAAATTTCAAACGTTTTCAGAGCAATGGGAGAGCTAATTAAAACATTCAGTGGTTTTACTGTCTGAGCAATGTAAATACGATGTAAAACAGAAAATTAAGGAACGTTTACACAGATGCATACTTGCTCGTTGTAACCATAAAACCTAGCTGTAGGGACCTGGCAAGAGCAGAAGTCTCTTATTCTTCAAAACAAGTTACTCAGCAAAAAAAAAATAGACACCAAGTTTCAGTGTGGAAGAGTTCTTTGTTACTCTCATCCATAATTCAATCCTTCAAAGCCACACCTCCTTTTTCTCTCTCTTTTTCCTGGTTTCAATTACTGGTCACTCAGTCTACTGCTGAAATGGGTCAAAAGTTGATTTGAAACAAAATATTTGCTTCACACTCTTGAGGTCAGTCCACACACAAGCTTTTTTCCCTTTTACTCATGCAACAGTCTCTTTTGAATAGTTAGTCCCAGTCACAGTGAATAAGATCCCCTGAAATGCTGGTGACAGGCTATGCCCAGGACAGGGAAGGCATTCTGGGATATCGTATTTTCCAGTGCTGGTTGATGTTTCAGTCTGGGATTTCAAGAACACCAACTGTGTTGTTTACACTGCAAAGAAAGGAGCTTTTTCATCAGGGCTAGCTGAGTCATTCCCTGTTAGTTTTATCATTTTGCAAAGAGCGAGAGCTGATGCCTGATCTTTGTCTGACCTTTTATTCAAACTTTTTTTTTTGCTGGGTTCCCAAGATGTTGTATTTAGTTTAATCATGTCTCAATGATATTCAGAAGAATCAGATGCTTTCTCATTTGATGTTACACGATGTCATAGGCAAAAGCGGCAGAAATCCCATGAGGTTACCATCCGGTCAAAATGGTTTGGTGGAAGGATGAGACTTCATCCTAGAATTTTGTTTCTGGGTTCTGATCTATTTTCAGGCTTTGTGGTATAACTTTTTTTGGGTAGGCAGGGTGGGGGGGTTGAGGACTCTCGCTGTTTTTTCCCACAGAGATTGTAAGACAAACAGACCACAGGTCAGGTAATGTAAGCAACAGACAGCAAAAACTTTGCCAAAAATCGTAGCCACCCAATTGGCTCTGGAGGAAAAAAAATTCGTTGAAGTGACACATGGTTAATAGTATTGAATTCAAAACAAGTGTTTTGACATCCAGATGTTGGAAAGTGCCATATCCTGATTAACAAAAATATTTTCTGGTCTTTCAGATCTTCCTTCCTTATTTTGATCACAATTCAAGTTCAGGAGAAATTCTTTCCCACTACTGTCTGCTGATCACATCGCTGAAGTATTTCAAAATTTTAACTTCTTTCCTATAAGGAAAAAATGGAAAGCATAACCACAAATATTTATGTTAGTGTCACTGCTTATTATTGGAAGCTTAGTTCAGTCTGCTGCAGTGCCATTACAAGAACATATCATCAGATACAGCATTCAGCTCCTCCAGGCATTTTACAACAACATCAACACACACAATCTTTATAACCTGGGAGAGAGAGAGTGCATCCCAAATGGAAAGGTGTGAACAACAGGCAGAAAAGTCCCTACGCAATTTCTTCTAACTGCAAGGCATTAGAAAGATACAACTGTTTTACCAATTGAAACAGGCTGTAGATGTAAAGGTTTTGGAGAACCATGCTTATGGAAAGAGAGTAAATATGGAAAAATGTCAACTCTTTCAGAATAGGTGCCACTTGTGATGCTCAGCAGCCAGCTGGATGTTCTGCTGTCTACTCTCCTTTACTATGTCAGGACCCCAAATTTTCCTGTAATATGAAAGTATGAGGAAAGGGAATTTCATGTAAAGGGAAATTTAGGTGAGCGTTCAATATTCAGCTTTCAATGCTTTCTTAGGATACAGCAGAGAAATGGTGATAGTAAAATTCTCAAGTTCAGAAAAGTTTGCTGACAGTGAAGATGGAATCCATAATTTTAAGGGAAAAGTTATCAGGGATCATGATGCCAGTCCCCTAATTAAGGGGACTATAATTGTCTAAGAGAAACAAGTTTGGGATAGAAGGCATAATAATGTTTATAGCAGCTTACTTTGATCTTCTCCTTCAGGTGTGGTAGCCTTGATCATAATATTATCTTAATAAATTTAATTGTCAACCAAGCATTCTTGTTTTCTAGAATTGGAAATGGGTTGCAAACCTTACATTTCCTCCTTTACTTTATGGGAAAGACATAAAATGATCTATATTGCAAATATTGGGTAATATCTTGCAAAGCCCTGTCCTAACCTAACATGACTGAGCAGTGTGGGAGGAGGAAGTAATGACTTCCCCCTGACCTGTGCAACTGACGTGAAGCCTGCCAAGAATCACAGCCCTTTTGCTCAAGGGAATACAGGAGCAACTCTTCAGAGAGGAGGCGGGGAGCTGGGGCCAAGGGAGGGTAGAAGTACGTCTCCACCTCCTCCTGTGCTCCATATGACAGAAGAGAGTGGCTGCACCACTTAAAAAGAAGTAGTAAATTCCTATCCACCTTCCACTCACAAGGAGTTTGTTTCTGAAGGGTGGGGTGGCATAGCTGCTGCTTTCTGAATGGGTACAGTTTTGCTGTGCCCACCACATGGAGTAACATATCAAATGCACAGTCTAGCTCACTGAGAATAGAAAATGGTTTTCCTGCATGGGCAGACAGGGCTGTGCTGTAAGGATGGAATTTCACAACAGAGCAAAAATAAAGCACAGTGCTGTTTCAGAATTTCTGAATTCTTATTTTAAACAGCAATGAACCCACCACCTAAAACCCAGCCCGGACAAAATATTAGCATTCTCTCCACTCTGGTTACAGCTCACATCCCTCTTAATACCTCCTGCTCTGCCATAAGCTATTTGTATAAGAAAGGCTTATGTTTGAACTGGAATTGGCACAAATAGTTACCCATTGGATATTCCTTTTCTGCAGAAATCTGATCTCTTTCAGTGCTTCACAAATCACAGAATCCACTGAGGACAGAAGCCCATGTTTTCTTCTTCTCCAAAGAGAGTAAAAAATCGTCAGTAACCCTGACAGCTTCCTGTATTGTGGCTCTCACAGCTTATTCCAGATGAGCCGAACATTAAACTTGCCATAAAAATGTTATGATGGGAGGATGCATCTCTCACAGTACTCAGAAATTATTTAGTGAGTTTTGCCATCATCACCCTCATGCTGTAACTACTCCCAGCTCTTCTGAGAAGTGAAAATAAGAATAAACTTAAATCCAAGCCATAATAGTGACAAATAAAAACAACAGCTACCATAAGAAACAAAAATGGCTGAAACAAGGCAAAAGAGGCCATTGAGTCTGTGTGCTTAGTGAACAGCTTGACCTCACCCGATTGGATATGGTGAAGAAGTTTGCAAGGATACACCCAAGGCTGTATGTGGCACAACAGAAGCTAGCACAATCATAAATATTGGTAATGACCTCTAAGATCATCTAGCCCAACCATCCACCTACCACCAGTATTGCTCACAGAGCCATGTTCCTCACCACCATGTCTACACATTTCTTGAACACTACCAGGGATGGCGACTCTATCAGTTCCCTGGGCAACCTGTGCCATTGCCTCACCACTCTTTCAAAGAAGTTTGTCCTAATATGCAACCTGAAACTTCTCTGGTGAAACTTGAGGCCATTACTCTCATCCCATCACTGTTACTTGGGAGAAAATGATAAAGCCCAGCACATGACCTCCCTTCAGGCACTTGTAGAGAGGGAAGCTTTTTCAGCAAGAGGATGTGTCTTTTCCCCGCCTCTGTTGCTTGCTCACTATGAGATGTCAATGACTACCCAACATGATGCATGTGCTCTGCTCCATTCTCCTCTTGATTCACCCAGTAGCACTGCATGTGAAAAGCTCTGAAGGAAAATGTGTCCTTTGTGGACCACTGTGGACAATCAGGCACTGTTTTTGCCAGTGGTTGCCCACTGAGGATCTTATTCCTCTGATTTTCTTCCATCTGAGCAGCTGTTCCTCCATCGTAGTCTATTTGGTTATGTCATTGTTAGCCTGTTTGATATGGGTAAGAAACCTTGAAAATGCTTCATGTTTTTAAGAGATCTGGATTTTCTCAAAAAAAAAAAAAAAAAAAATTCTGATGTTTCTCAAGCCTCCCTCCCTTTCTCCTTCTGAAAAGGTTTTAAAAAAAGTGGAATGTTGTGGGAAATTACTCAGAATGTAATAAAAATGTACACGAAAAAAAAAATCTAGCTCACAGCCTCCTTGGCTGGAGTGATGTCCCAGGGCTGGATCCAGCTCAGCAATGCTCTTTGGCCTTTCTGTAGTTTTCTCTTTCCAGGATCACATCCCTCATTCAGTCTCTGCTTCCAGGACCCTCTCTCTCACCCACACACACCACATAAATACACAGACACATACAGCTCTGACATACATTTATTTCTATGGCACAGGATACCCCCAAAGCTTGTTTTCTCTTTTACAAAGTTTAGGCAGCCCCTCAGCAGAGCACCTCCCTTCTGTTCCCTGGTCTCCAGCTAGATACAAACACTCCAAAACACAGTTTATTTGTTGGATCTGCTTTAACCGCTTGATCACCACACCAGCCATTTCTCCTCTACACGTATTTTATAAGAATTAACAAGAACACTATAGGAAAGCACTGGGTTATTGGTTTTTTTTGTTGTTGTTTTTTTTTTTTTTTTTTTTTTTTTTTTTTTTTTTACTTCAGTATGTTATTTTGAGTGTTCTTTTTACACAAATGCACACTTACAGCTTACCAAAATGTCACTGACAAATACAAGTTGAAAATATTTTCTAAAAACGTGGATATTAACTACGCAGAGTCTTTGAAAGTTTCTCTAAATATGCCTCTAAAGATTCAAAAAAATATATTTAAATGTATTGAAGAGTGTTACTCCAAAATTTTCCAAATAAAAACAGACTAAAACTTCATCGGTTTCATAACAGTTTTAACCTTTGCATCCAGAAGTTGCTTCAGTGTTCAGAGCTATACATTCATGAGTCATTCACTCCACCTCTTTTATACCTCCAAATGTTCCTGCCATTACTGTTTAGCAAATAGCATTCTATTTACATCTTTTATGTGAGGAAGCAGAACACTTTTGTAACTGAAAGGTCTATTGAAGGTGATAATTACTATTCAGAAAATTATTGCAGACACCAACTCGAGGCTCATGCTGAATTAAATGACTCAAGCATAGAGATGGGCTTTGTAAAGCCAAATAAAATCACAAATTGAGGAATTTATTTCATGATGGCACTCAATCCTAAGCACATAATAGTATTGCTGAAGCTGATTAGAGAATTTGCATGTTTAAATACAGATTTTAGTACCTTGCTTGGTCACGCCATAAATTAGTATAGCTTAGATACATACATAGTTCAGAAAACACTCAAAATACTTGAAGTATTAAATACTACAAAGTACTTAAAATAACTTCTTACCCTTTAGAAACCCTTATGCATTTCCAGTTTTCCATGCCTTAGGTCCCATTGCCACACAGTAGAAGCACACAGTACAGAGCACGTTACAGCTCTGGGGCTGCCCCAGGGTCACTTTTCCTGCAAGATGCCCTTGGAGCTGGCCAGTGTGCCCCTTGTAAATTTTACCATTTACATCTATTATTCAAGCTTTGAAGGCACTGCTCTGGGGAACACTTAGTCTTCTAGACACCCTTGTAATATTCTGCAAGCCTCCCATGCTGATGAGAACCAAAAAGGAGTCAACGCTTCCTCCACACTGTGCTAGTTTTTTCCAGGTTGACAACCAACACTGACACTAGTCTGTTTCCCAGGATAGTTGTTCTTTGGATGAACAGCTCCCTAGGAACACTACAGAAGCCATCACAAAGAGAAAAATCTGTAGAATGTCTCTGCTATCCCTTCATATGATGTATTTACAGAAATATGGTGTTACACTTAGTTTCCTTCAGTCTGGTGGCATACATCTGTCTCCATGCTTCATGTGAAATAAGATGGGCAGAAATAGGGAGGAAATGGGACTGAGGGGGGCTGGTATCACCTCCTCCCCCTCACAACATGATGAGTGCTGTTTACAGAGACAGGCAAGTGGAGAAAATCTGCTCAGCACTAAGGTGCAACTCACAGTTTAATAGAATAGCTTCTACAGTAGTAGTATCTACACATTTCTTGAACGCTACCAGGGATGGTGACTCTGTCTCTTCCCTGAGCAACCTGTGCCAGTGCCTCACCACTCTTTCAGAAAAGTTTGTCCTAAGATGCAACCTGAAACTCCTCTAGTGCAAAGTCCTAGGTTGCAGCAAGTGAGAACTTGCTCAAATGCAACAGCCAAGGACACAGAAACAGGGAAAACAGCCTGCAAAGGAAAGAACATACTGACCTCAAGAAGAACCCAAGTAGACAGGAATCTCCAGCAAGATACCCTTACCTCCACTGCCAACCCTTAAATGAGATCTGGAAAGGGTGGATCCTGGCTCCAGCCCTCCCAGTCACTCAGCACACTGCATGCACCTGAGCTCCCCTGGCTTGGCCTTGCTTTTCCACCAGGTGCTCAATCACTGGTTCAAGCTGTGACTTAGCATTTCCACTACAGCTTGTTGCTACCACAGCATAGAACTTAAAAATCAAAGTAGCAACTCTGTGCTGACAGGCAAAGATCTTGGTTCTTTCAACAAATATCAACTACATCTCAGTTGCATAAAATGCTTAAAGTCTCCCGGAGAAGGGCTCAAAGTAGTGGAGAGCTGTAATTATCTTTTATAAAATTCTAAATTCAGTGTTCGGTGTTCATGTGAAGAAATGATAATAAGCAATGAAAAAAAAAAGAGTCATTCTACAGCTGATTGTACTATGATGCCTTGAAAAAAGAAACTTGTGGAATCACTCAAACATCTTTTTAGTTCCAGTGTGAAAATTACATCCATATTACTTTGCTTGAACAGTAATGACACTAGAGAGACAGGCAACATTAATTGCAATTTGTGTTACAGCCTAGGAAATTAGTGAACACACCTGCCTTGCGTAAATGGCAGCACTCTGCACGCTATGAAATTACCTCTAAAACAAACATCAGCAAAATTTATTGAGGTTTCTTGCACATTTGAGAGATCTGCTCTGTGTGACGCAGAGAACTGCGCAAGGTGCATAGTACTGTAGGCTTGAACTTTATAGTGAATGGCAGACAGTCTAATGGGTAATTAAGCAAAGGGCTGTTCTAGTACTCAGCTTTAACGAGAACTGTATTCCAGGGGTGAAAGTATGGAAAAGTAGTTAGATATGATTTGCTGAGAGACTTATAAGGAACCTCAATGCACACATAAGGACGATGTTGACATGGAAGAATAGCTGACCATTTAGTCTGAGTAAACTATTACATAACAACTAAGCTATAATAAAACCCTGATTCCAAATCAAATAAGTCTCCCAGACTGCTTAGAGTGAGTCACCAACAGCTTTATAAACATACAAAATACTTGACAAGGAAGTCTCTGATAATTTTTTAGTAATTATGTCTGTGAATTGTTCTCTGTTGACATCACTATTAGAAATGGTTTCCCATAAGTTTGCACTGCCTGTTAACATCTGCTCATTAATCACTGAGGCTTTGAATATTTCTTTCATTACAAGTTTATTATGGAGTTTACACGGTCCTGAATCTGGTTGTTCAGAGAGCTGCTTAATTAGTGCAGAAACAATAGCTGAAGACAATACAGTTTTATTTTGTATGGATTTTTATGGCTTCAAAAACCTCTTAACAAGACATGATTTCACAAGGCAGTCACAGATGATGAAATATCTGTGCATCTCAGAAATTTGTGAGCAAGAGAAAAACATTTTTCACAGGCTTCAAGGACACTTTCAAGCACTGTCTGCAGTCTGAACAAAACAATAAAAGTTTTGTATGAAGTATGATTTGGAAGCAAATGCAGAACCAAAATTAGAGGTCAAGCAGTGCTTCCTTAAGACTGTCCTGCAGAGCTGATACAGTAATCAGATACAATTGGCCTAAAAGCAAACACAAAAAAGGAAGGATATAAGCAAGGTCTGATGAAAGATGTTC